CACAAACAAACAAACAGACAATTAACCCAACAACTGATGTTCTCTCTTTCCTCCCCTCCTACGACCTTCAGAACGTAGATCTTTTCTGTACACAAACAAACAAACAGACAATTAACCCAACAACTGATGTTCTCTCTCTCCTCCCCTCCTACGACCTTCAGAACGTAGATCTTTTCTGTACACAAACAAACAAACAGACAATTAACCCAACAACTGATGTTCTCTCTCTCCTCCCTTCCCGCAACCTTCAGAACGTAGATCTTTTCTATACCCAAACAAACAAACGAACAAACAGACGAACCAACTAAACAAACCCACCAACAACTGATGTTCTCTCTCTCCTCCCTCCCCTCCTGCGACCTTCAGAACGTAGATCTTTTCCGTACTCAAACAAACAAACAAACAAACAGACAAACAAACCCACCAACAACTGATGTTCTCTCTTTCCTCCCTCCCCTCCTGCGACATCCAGAACGTAGATCTCCCCGACACCATGTCGATAGAGATGAAGACTCTCCTAGAAGGCCTCTTACGCAGGGATGTGGAGGATCGCCTGGGCTGCAGAGGACGCGGGTTCGTAGACAAAGTTGCCAGTAGTCTTTGGTCCCCTTTATTTTTTTTATTTATTAATTTATGTTAAAACAATTTTACCTTTGTTTCTTTTATTGTTTTATTCAGTTAATATTCAACATTTGTTTTTTGGATTGTTGTATTAATCTTTTTTTTTTCTATTACATTTTAAAAAAATTACTTATTTATTTTTTAAATCTATTATTATTCTTTAAATTTTACATTTACTTTTTTTATTGTTTTATTTATTTATTTCATTTATTTTCTTCATTCATTCATTATTTTTCAGTGTTTAGTTGCTGTTTCAGTCGATCCTTTAGTGCAGCGTTTGTATTGTCTTGTTGGGTGTTGATGTAGGACGTTGGTGGTGAGTTAGGATTTGTGAGGCAGCGTGGTGGAATCAGGCTCTCGGCAATTTTTGGTATCGTCTTAAAGCTTGTTCACTTGTCTTTATTTGGAAGGAAAAAATATCTATTTATCTTGAATACAAGTCGAGATATTTGCAAAAGAAGGAGGTGAGGGTCACCTGTTTTCAGAGGTAAAATTAGTGAGAAAATGGCCGCCAAAGATTAGTTATTTCCTTAGCTTAAGA